TCTTCGTCCTCAAATAGTTTTATCCGAGATATTTCACACATTTCTTTGTTGCCAAATGCAATTGGTTGAGAACAAAATTAACATTTGTATTTCTCACATTCTGTTGCCTCTGCTTCTTCCTCTTTAAATTGTAGCCTTGATTTGGTGTTGTCCATTTAACATCTGTGGATTATTTGTTTTTGTTTTGGCTGTCTGCACGTTTTTGTGATTTTCACAATTTAATTGAATTTAATTGATTAAACGTTTTTATTGGACGTCAATGTTGCTGTTGTTGCTCTCTTAATTGTTGCTGTTGCAATTGTTGTTGTTGTTGTTGCTCTTGTTGTGGCTGTCAGTTGCCAACTTGTTAAAAAAGTTTTTTCGCAGCTCACTCGATGAAAAAGCGAAATAGTTTTTCACGGCCTTCAAGCCAAAGTGTGCGATAATTTATTAGCTCACGGCCACGCCCACAACATTTTGTTACTGCCACGACTCGAGCCCCCCTTCCACTTGCATTGTGTAAGGGGAAGGGGGAGGGGCGGGCAGCGACTTTATCGCTCTCTTCTTGTAATTATCTCGCCGAAAGCGACTTGAAGACAAATTAGCACATTTTCTATTCTGACAGTTGCGCGATTTGCGGTCAACTGGGGAATGCCACCATGCCCTCCCTGCCACCCCCTCCCTCTCCACCACATTATGGCAGAGTGCGGCTCTAGCGAAATGTGAAAATTTTGCAAATCGCATCATTTGTTGTTTAATAAATATCATTAAATATGCAACACTCTTACACATGTCGCAAGTTCATAATTTATGTGATACACTCAATAATCCAGAGAAACATTCTCTTGCCGCTTGCCTTTTGCACACCTCCCCCGCCTCCCTCCTCTTGCCACGCCTCTGTTGTTGTCGCCCCAAGTTGAGTTATGTTGTGGGCCAACTGGGGAGCAAGTGTCAAAGAATTTTGTATGCCGCACAAAATATGTGGCATAGACTTGTTGGCACTCTTCACACACACACACATACACACAGAGACACAAGCTCTCGTTCTCGTTTCTCTGTCTCTGTCTGGCTGTGTCAAGTGCATATTTTAGTAGCTGTTGTGCATAACTTAACAGTTTTCATTAATTTAATTGATTCACATATACTGCCTACGTTTTGTGAATAAATAAGAAACATATGTATGTATATAATTGTATATGCATATATGTATGTATAATATATTTATATATATACTATTTATTTATGTTAACATAACTTGAAAGTTATGTAAATGCTATATTTATGTGTATACAGTTTGACGGTCACTGCTTAACATTAACATTAACATTATTGGAATGCAGCTTAAGAGTTAAGTAAATGCCACATTACTCCACTGTTAAGCGCTTAAGCTAAAGTTTAACACTCACTGCTTAACATAATGTGAATTTTAGTTCGAGCGCAACGGTTAAACAAAATTCATAAACATATTCATGGTAAAGCCATCAAAAATAATGGCCACAAAATTGATATGCTACACACGCACCCACTTACGCACACACACACACACACTCGTACGTAATCAATACAGCTAAAAAGCAGGCAACAGAAATAGCAATTTAAGAACTGAAAGCAAAGCGAAGCAAAACCAGCAAAATTTAAGGGGCAGTGACCAAAGCAAAACACCGGCCGGCGCAATGGGAGGAAGAGAGAGAAGAATATATATAAATAGCACACATATTCACCCAACTCACTCACATCCACATCCACACATGCAGGCAGACAAAGGGACAGACGATTGCGCACATGTTGCCAAAGGCAGCAATTGAGATGGAGTTGTATAAAAACAGTTAACTGCTGGAAGAGAGCATGTGAAGAGCGGGAGATGGCGAGCGAGCGACAGACGCAGACAAGCAGCTGCGCCAGCGTTAGCGTCGACGTTAGCGACGCACGAATAAGTTGTCAAAAACAGCGACGCGACGCTCGACAGCGGCAAACCCAAAGCGCCAAAAAATGTTGCCAAACTATCAAAGTGAACTTTTCGTTTGTGCACAGATATAGAATAAGAGAGTGGGAGAGGGAGTAGAGTGAGAGCAAAGAAGCAGTTGGGTTTGTTATAATATAGATTACACAAATGTGCACACATATGAAACAAAAGTGAAAAAAAGAGGAATATACTAGATGCTGCACAGACAATGTGTGTTTGTCTGGAAAAGGAAGAGACGGAGGGAGAGAGAGACGGAAGAGAATGAATGGTAAAGCACTGAGTAGATAAAAGAATAAAACTCAAGCTAAACTTTTGGATACATTTATTTAAAATGTAGCCAAAGCAATGCGAGCTACAATAAAAACAATAACAAGAACAACAAAAACATTCCTTAACATTCCTTTTGCAAGCACTACACATGACATTGTGTAGAGACTTCTTTGTTTTTGCACTTTTGCACTGCAGCAATTAGTTGTCAATTTACAGTTGCAAAGCCCACAGTGACTTTAAAACTTAGGCATAGCCATAACCATAAAAAGTTTACTCAAAGATCAGAGAAATAGTGGAACATGTGGAATTAAGTAAAATGTAAATGTGGAATGTAACCATGCAGTGGAATGCATTTCAAATATGTTGCTAGCAGCAAAGCTCAGCAACATTTACTCATCAATAAGAGCACACATTAAGAGTGCATCAGAGCAGCATGTTGCTAAAGCAATTAAATGTTGCGAGCCTTGTTGCTAAATTTATTGATGAATTTGGCAACATATTGCAAACAACCGGAATGGTTCTAACATGTTGCTGC